GCCACATTAACAGCAGCTCCGGAACACGGAGCTCCTTTACTTCTGCTGCTGGGTCTTGAGTCTTCGTTCTCGGGATCACCGTTATCCACTTCGACCCGCCTGCAAATGTGAAGCACTGCAGGATGTCCGTGTCCACATACAGCACACACCAGACGCCTCTTGGACCACAGAGACCTATGTCCAGATTGCAGACAGTCAAAACAGAATGCATTCTGGGGCACAAGTTCCTGTCTTTCAAGTAGGGATCGTCTTGCGAATTCCTGGCATTCTCCATGATTGCGCCTGCGCTTATAACAGGCACATGCTTCTATTTCCTTGGCTTCCCATGTGTTGTCTCTGCTGGTCACGTAGTGAACTTAGGTTTCATTCCTTTTGGGTTCTCGGCTATTGACGGGGATCCCTCTTGCTAAACGCTTGCCGTCCAAACGCTGGGTTTGACATGATCCTGGCCTTCCCTTCAATGACGTGCACCAAGTCACTGAACTTGGCCTGCCTTCTCTGCTTGTCCATGAAACAATCCACTGCCTTGCGCCAACGCCCATTTACAGAGAATGGCAGCTTCTCCAGTAGCTTCATGAATGTCTTGAAATGGTTCAGTTCACAAGTTTTTGGCATGAGACTTCCCACCGCATTGTTGCAGGTCCTGAGCTCCAGGGTAAGACGATCCAGACCTTCCACGGCATCAGACTTCACCACCTGCCAGCTCAAGATCTTGTCTATGAAGGCTGCGGCAACCTTGCACGGGCTCCCATAGCGCTTAAACAGCGTGCTGCGGGCTTCCTGATGCCCGCCTACTGGCACGTGCATGCACCCCCAAAGGATTTCTCTTGGCACTCCTATATATATATATATATATATATATATATATATATATATATATGTACTTAGTGTACAGGAAGTGACTATCCAAACCATCAGGGTCTCCCTAAAATGTTGTCCAAAATGCAGCTGTCACAGTTGCAACAGTTTTTTGTTGTAGTATCTAATAGAGGCATCGCGAATGGGGAGTCAGAAGAGGCCGAGATCCCCGATTCTCTTTAAAACATAAATCTAGCTCTAGATAATCGGTCTATGTGTTCATGTCGCGTGTCAACTTGCAAATTCTTATCAAATGGTGCTTTACTTGTTGATATCAAAACAAGAGGTGGTCAGAACCCATGACCGTTCATAAGATGAGATGCATGAGATATAGGTCAGAAATCAGATACCGACACAAAGCAGGGTGGTGTCGCTGTATGGTGGACCGGTCAGCACATAATCGGTCTTCTATCCAATGTATAAAAATCTACACAGCCTCTGAACGAATTGAAAAGATGTTAAGTCCATATATATATATATATATATATATATATATATATATATATATATATGCGCTGACAATGCACTTACGTGACGGGGCACCTCTGGACCACATGCGACAGGAACACGACATGACATTGACACGACAACAGCTGACAGACAGCACTGACATTTTACGGACGTGCAGTGACAGAATACGCCTTCAAATTTGGGAAAGCATATTCATTAACGAACTCCCTCCGGCCTTAAACAGACAGACAAATTCTTGCGGAACTCTTAAACTACTAGGTGGTGGGCGCTGAGCACTTCTGATGCGATTGTGACAATAGTGTTCCCATTGTGTCTTTGTGATGTTTCCATTATGAGTGTTTCTTACATGTATGAAAATGATTATACATATATATATATATATATATATATATATATATATATAGACAGTTCAAACGCCCACTTTTGGTACTTGCAACATCAGCTTTCCTCCAAGGTTGAGTAATGCAATGTGTGCTGACTTGAAAATTCCTGCTTCACCACAACAATCTCAGATTCACTGACTTTTTCTTTGCCTCACCTTCCGCTTGCCAACAAGTCGTTTCTTTCCGGTCACTGCTATGGAAGCTCCCATCCAACCCAATAGGCCCTCAGCAGCCACAAACACAAGCAGCCGCAGGCTTTCATGATAGTACCTCAGCGACAAGACCAGAATGCACGTGCCTTGACACATAAAATAAC